GGGAAGGGAAGGGAAGGGAAGGGAAGGGAAGGGAAGGGAAGGGAAAAGGATGGAAGGGAAAGGGAAGGGAAGAAAAGAAGAAAGAAAAAAAGAAAAGAAAAAGAAGGAAAGAAAAGAAAGAAAAGGAAAGAAAAGAGAAGGGAAGGCAAAAGAAAATCAGTTTTCATCCTCTTGACTCACTAGTTTGAGTCTAGTTTTTCTTTTGTCTGCTATTGTCATTTGGATTATGAGTTTCCGATTACTTATTTCAATTAGAAGTAAATGGAAGTAATTATCATAACAACACTTCATCTGTCTCCTAAGAAAATAGGTGTTCCACACTCCGGCCTGTAGGAGTGGCGGTAGGAGGAGAGAGAGCATCAGGAAGAATAGTTAATAGATGCTGTGTTTAATACTTAAGTGATAGGTTCATCTATGCAGCAAACCACCATGGCACACAGTTACCTATGAAACAAACCTGCACCCCAGCACTTAAAAGTTGAAGGGAAAAAAAAGAAGGAAATAGGTGTTCCAAGAAAAAAAAAAATGTTTAAAAGATAAAATATGTGGAGCATTACAGCAGGTCTTAGAATGTGTTCTTGGAGGGGGTGACATTATTGTTTGTTCTTATCTGCTGGAAGATATATTTCAGTTCTATCTAATCCTGGTGTCATAGCGCTGGAGGATGCTAAAGATTACCCTTTTCAAATGAGCCAGCTGAGGCTAGAGAGGCTACCTGATTGACCAGGATCAAATCTAAGAGTTTTCCCAACTCCAAAGTTAGTATTCTTTTCTCTACATTATCCTGCTTCTCATTTATCTCATTAAAATTCTGTTAGCGGGGATGTGCTTTATACTGGAGAGCACAGAGGATAATCTGTATTACAGGATTTGCAAGAAACCCAGGCAGCCCGGAAGCTGAGGTTATTTTCCCTAAACCTGTCCTTTTGGTCATGGCACAGATAGACACCTTCACATCGTAGTAGATTTGGGGCTTTAAGGACCTCTTATTAAAATGCAAATATGCCTAGAGGAATCACTCCTAAACCCATAGTGGGATAACATTTTATCTCAGAGATTAGTTGATTAAATTGGTTTCCAACCTGGAGAGTTGAAAGTAGCACCCTAAGGTGAAGAGGAGGCACTATGGGTGGGGATTGTCGGGGTGCAATGTAACAGGTTTCTAAAACTTTGCCTACTGTACAGATTTAAACAGAATTTAAATTAGCTCTGTCTAATTTTTTTTTTAGGTCTGTATATTTTAAATAACATGACTACTTAACAAAATAAATTCTGAGTGGATAGGCAGAATCAATAATACTGCAAGCTTGAATTTGAGCCTAGTGACAATGACATGGGTCTTCAGACTTTGAAAAAGCTTAAATTGAAGTTAAGGTCTGAGCTTGTGATATTTTAATGTTTATATTTTATAAGTGAAGCAGAATCTCTTCATTTTTCTGTGCTATTTTTTGAACTCAGATTTTGGATAACATAGGAAGTCCAGATTTCAATATAAAACATCCCATTGGGAATCTCCCTCAAACAATTTGCAAATCACTATTACTGAGCAAATTTTTAAATTTAAAAATACTGCCTTCCACTAACATGATGGCCAGTAATAATTATATTGTTTGTTCCCTCTGCTTTTTATTCTTTTCCCCACCTTCCTGTGGGTTGCCTGAATATTTGTTTAGAATTTCATTTTGATTAATCTATAGCGTTTATCAGTATACCTCCTTGTACAGATTTTTTTTTAGTTGTAGCTCTAGTTTACACACACACACACACACACACACAGACGTATAAAATAAAATTTATATGCATAAAGTATAAAATATCACAGTCTGGTATCAACATTTTACAAGTTCAAGTCACGTGAAGAAACTACTTCCCTTTATATCCTTCTCCTCTTTATAATATAATTGATTCTATTTAACTATTTCTTCTGCATACATTAAGAATCACATGAAACAATGTTATAATTCTGCTTCAGATGCAATTAAGGAAACCCAAGAGGAGAAAGAAAGTCTATTGTATTTACTGGTATTTTTATTCTTTCTGTTGTTTTCTCTTCCTTCCCGATGTTTCAAGATTTCTTTATTTAAAAAAAAATTTACTTTCTGTCTGTTTCAAAAACTTCCCTTAGCCATTATTTTAGGGTAAATATGTTTAAAACAAACTCTCTTAGTTTTCCTTCATCAGAAAATGTCTTGATTTCCCTTTCATTGTTGAAAGCTATTTTTGTTGGATACAGATCTCTGAGTCGACAGGCATTTTCACAGTAGAAAAATTTTTACCACTTCTTCTGGCCTCCACAATTCCTGAAGAGAAATCTGCTGTCTTTGAAAGTGCTTTTTTCCTGAGATGGGGTCTCACTCTGTCACCCAGGAAAGAGTGCAGTGGCATGATATCAGTTCACTGCAACCTCCACCTTCCAGGTTCAAGCCATTCTCCTGTCTCAGCCTCCCAAGTAGTTGGGATTACAGGTGCCCACCACCACGCCTGGCTGACTTTTGTATTTTTAATAGAGACAGTTTCACTATGATTTTTTCCTATAGATAAAGCAGTGTTTCTTTCTCATAGCTTTCAAGATGGTGTCTTTGTCTTTAGCTTTCTAAAGGTTGACTATGATGTGTCTTGGCATGTGTATTTCTTCAAATTTATTCTATTTGGGATCACTCAGCTTCTTGAATTTGTAGATTTGTGTCTTTTGCCAATTTGGGGACATTTTTAGCCATTGTTTTTCAAATACTTTATCTCAGTGGCACAAATGTTAGATCTTTTGTTATAGCCACATAAGTTCCTGAGGCTCTGTTTATTTTTTTTCCAGTCTATTTTTTTCAACTTTTCAGATTGGCCAATTTCTATTGTTCTATATTCTTGTATATTAATCATTTCCTCCCTTCTCCCTATTCTGTTGCTGAGCCCATCCCTTGAGCTTTTAAAATTTTGTTCATATGTCTTAATTCTAAAATTTCTATTTATTTTTTCTTTTATACTTTCTATTTCTTTGCTAAGCCTTCAAATTTTTCATTTGTTTCAAGTGTTTGTGTAATTGCTTATTAAAGCATTTTTATTACAGCTGCTTTGAAATCCTTGTTAGATAATTCCAACATTTATATCATCTCAGTGTTGGTATCTGTTGATTGTCTTTTCTCATTGAAGTTGGGATTTTCTTGGTTCCTTGTATGAATGATATTTGATTGTATCCTGGATATTTTAGATATTATGTTGAGACTTTGGATCTTATTTAAATATTCTATTTTGCTAGAATATTCTGTTTTACTAGACTACTTCAACCTTTTGCTGATGGGGAAGAAAGGGGTGATGCCTTGTTACTGCTAGGTAGGTGTTGTAAGTCCAGGTTCCCCATGTAGCGTCTGCTGACACCACTCCAACAGAGAGGCTGGGATACCTCACTGCAGCCTGTCAAGGGTGGAACTATAGATTTTCCACTCCACCTTTACAGTAGGGGTGGGGCTGCAGTTTTTTTCCATGGTGTTTGCCTGGAGTAGAGTGCTTATTGTCTAAAAGTTTTTTGTCTTTCTAGTCTTCCCCTTTTCTGGTCCTTTGGCTAGGGCGAGTGGGCTTTTCTTGAGGCTTTTTTTTTTTTTTTTTTTTTTTTTTTTTTTTTTTTTTTTGTCTTTGCCTGTTGTTATTTTTAAATTGCTGGCTTCTATGGAACTAAGTCTGGGATATCTGAAGCAAACAGCAACAACAACAACAAAACCCACTGAACTCACTGCTGTGTCTTTCCTTTGGTCCTGAAGTCCTTACCTGGTCTGCCTTCTTTCCACTTTTCAGAGTCTTCTTATATTTGTTTTATAAATAGTGTTCAGGGTTATCTGTACTTAACAAGTGGGACAGGGAGCAGTACATCTACTCCCACTTGCCCTAGAACTGTAAGCCTCCACGTTCTAACATTCCTACTCCTCTGCTAACAGCGCTGGCTCCTTATGATCTACTAAATCAAGACCCCTCTGCTTTTGGCTCCAGAAAGTCATACACCTTTCTCTAGGACTCTGTGACCTAGGTATTAGCAGACACAAAAGATTCTCCTACAGAACTTTATTTCAAATCTGTAAGTAGACTGAAAGCTAAACATTGCTGTTTGTTACACTTCACTGTGCAGCCTGTTGCCCCAGCAGAAGCACTGTCAGTGGAATTTCTGCACAATGGGATAACAGCTCTGGGACACTACCTGTTTTTTCTAAATACCTCCTTGACTTTCATGTATTTTCCTGTAACAGGTGAAATACATATGGGAGGTCAAGAACATTTTTATATGGAAACCCAAAGCATGCTTGTGGTTCCCAAAGGAGAGGATCAAGAAATGGATGTCTACGTGTCCACACAGTTTCCCAAATATATACAGGTAACATGGGCCATTATGAAGGTGACATGGCTAAATGATTTCTGACCAGTGAAATATATCAAAAGCAATTAGAGATTAAAGTGTATTTGGGTGGTTGAGGTGGAAGGATCACTTGAACCCAGGAGCTCAAGGCTTCAATGAGCTATGATCACACCACTGCATTCCAGCCTGGAAGACAGCGTGAGACCCTAAACAAAACAAAACAAAACCAAAAATGTCATTTCTTCAGGAACTGAAGAACTATTGAATACTAATAACCATATTGATTTGGGTATTAATAGCCATAGTTCAATGCTTTTAAAACAGTGTTATTAAAGTAGAGGCCTTTTGTTTGTAGATTATAGCTTTAAAATCAGTTATGGAATCAGCAGCTCTCTTTTGCTCAGCTCTTGGCACAACTGTTAAGAACACAAAAGAAGAAAGAGGAAGACCTGCTCTCCAAAGCCTATGGTGCCTAACTCACATGAAACAGTTAGGAAACATTATTGAAAAGGATGCAACCAGGTGCAAAATCAGTGAAAGCAAAATTTACATGAGTGGAGAAATTAGGAAAAAGGAGAGTTTGCCAAGGGCTAGAATCATCCAGGAAGTCCCACAGAGAAGTCTTAAGTTTGGATTCAGAGTGAGAGTGAGGTTTGTCTAGATGGTAGGACACGAGAGGTCCCTTCCAGGCAATTCCGCAGCAAGATCAAATGACATCTATTCATTTACTCATCTCTTCTGCAAACATTTGTTGCCTCTGTGCTGTATCCCAGGCAGTGTGCATGGAAAGAAGGAGGAATAGCACAATGACTACCAAAGCTAGAATGGAGGATGCCTTTAGGGAGGCTAGGTTTAGGCATCAGGGTGAGAGTTAGGGAAATGAAGCAGAGAGGTCTTGATTCTAAGGAGCCAGTGCTGTTAGCAGAGGGGTAGGAATGTGAGACTGTGGAGAATGAGGCCTTGTAAAAGGTGGGATCCTAAGGAGGTTCAGGGGAACTCCATTCCAGGCCTGCTTTGCTCTTTACTCCGCATGGGTTGTTGGGTCCATCACCTTATCCATCTCAGGCTTCCTATCTGTAAGAATCATTGTTAAGACTAAATGACCCCTAATCACTAAAATGGCAGAAAAGAGTGAGATCTGCATCTAGGAAAGACCAACTGGTCAACTTGAAACTTTAGCAGCAATCCAAGCAAGAATTGAGAAGTGATTTTTTTTTCCTGAGGCAGAGTCTCACTCAGTCACACAGGCTCGAGTAGAGTGGTACAATATCAGCTCACTGCAACCTCTACCTCCCAGGTTCAAGTGATTCTGCTGCCTCAGCCTCCTGAGTAGCTGGGATTACAGGCATATACCACCACACCTGGCTAATTTTTGTATTTTTAGTAGAGATGGGGTTTTGCCATGTTGGCCAGGCTGGTCTTGAACTCCTGACCTCAGGTGATCCACCTGCCTTGGCCTCCCAGAGTGCTGGGATTACAGTTGTGAGCCACCATAGTGGCCTGAGAAGTGCTTAATTCCCAGTAGAGATAATAGAATGCAGGGAAAAGACCCATGCTGAGCGAGGCTTAGAAGACTGCAAAATCCCAAGGCTACAGGAAATGTATATCTAGGGATTAATGTGAATAGGATAATTTAGGTGTAATTCATGGGGAAAATACAAAAAAGTATGAGCACAAAAATATCTCACTGGTAATGAAAAGACTACTAATTAGTTTTGGCAATGTCATTATAACCAAGTACTTTGGAGATCAGTTGGGGCTGTGTGCCAGGGTTATTGGACATTATCCCATTATTTAGCATAACCACACGGTGTGGGTATCATGTACAACATTAAAGAATCAAAACATCTAGTGACTGTCACACTCCCATTTCAGAGGACAGTTTTTTGTGTGTGTGTTAAGGTCATGGGTATGACAATGACACTCACACTTAAGTTCTTGCTGAAGATGGATCAGATTAATCAGAACTATTATTGTTCACAGGACATAGTTGCCTCAACCTTGAAGCTCCCAGCTAACAAGGTCATGTGTCATGTAAGGCGTGTTGGTGGAGCGTTTGGAGGGAAGGTGTTCAAGACTGGAACCATTGCAGCCGTCACTGCTTTTGCTGCAAACAAGTAAGTGGAGAAAATATGCTAAAAATAAAATGAAGTCACGCTGAAAGTTCTCACTGTCAGAATCAATGAGGAAGAAACTGGGCCAAGATTATTTAATATCACATATACTATACAAACACACAAGCTGCCAGCTTATTACATTTACTCGTCTTATATTGTCCTATAGAAACCAAAATAAAAATCAATTACTGAAAATAATAAAAGCCACAGAAAAAATATTATGATACCCAGAAAGTAGACAGAAACAGGTCCTGAATGGGTGGGAGTTACTTGTCCTCTGCACCTGCTGGACTGAGCTATATATGTTGAGGTCATATATATGACTTTTGAACCATGTACCTATATATACACATACACATATGCATATACACATATATACATATACATTTGTGTGTGTATGTGTATACATGCACGTGTATGTATATATGTATATGTATGTGTATATGTATATTGACTTGAGACTTTGCTTTTGTTATACTTATATTCATTTATATTGTCATTTTCCTTTGAGGATCTCAAAACATTGTAATGGAACGTTTTCTCTGGAGCAGGCACACCCAGAAGGCTTAATTTGTTTGCTGAGTAGTATGAGTCAATTTCTCCATCCCAGGAAGCAAAAAGACCTTGATTCTAGATCTCTCTATCAGGGAGCACTTGGTAGTTAAGCAGCACCTGCATTCTTCCATTTGTGGCCAGTCTAAAATAAGACTGTGGGATCATTTTCCTCTAATAAATGTTGTTATTACAATGGGAAATGTCCCAAAGCAATGCCCTGGAGCCCCTAGCACCCAAGAGCCTCTGTCCCACAAGTTGCAAATGCCTGGTGTTGTTTCCTGACCTAACAGGAGGAAAGGCCACTGCGTATGTCTGAGATCAGCAGAGACTAGTCATGGGAAGTAGTTGTGTTGTTCTGTGATGCGTGTGAGCTCCACTCAGCTACACTCAGGCTCTTGCTAGGAGTTATATAAACCCAAGATAATGCCTACTAGGTAAGAGAGTTTACCTCGCTTGCTTTTTTTCTGTTTTAGACATGGTCGTGCAGTTCGCTGTGTTCTGGAACGAGGAGAAGACATGTTAATAACTGGAGGCCGCCATCCTTACCTTGGAAAGTACAAAGTAAGTATAAGAAGACATGGAAGAAAGATTTACCTTGTAGATATAACATCCTATCAGTGCACAGGGCAGCCTTTGGCTGCTCTCTAATGGGAAGTAACAATGAGCAAATCAACAAACAGAGCATCTATTTAACTTTCCATTTGTTGTGCTTTTGATTACCAGCTGGTTCAATGAGGCTTTTCTGCTTTGCTCAAAAATGTCATTTTCAGAAATAAAACACTTAGTGCCAGCTGGCATTGGCTGTACAGAGTGAACAACTAGAAAACGTGAGTGTGTACATCCATTAAAGTAGATTTGATTGCCACACTTATTCCCACATATAAAATAAGTAAAAGTAGAATAATTCCCATAGCTGTAGTGTTATGTGAAATTGCAATTATTTGCAAATGGTTTCCTCATTCTTCAGTATATCAAGGATATTTTTGTAAAATGGGGTTCCAGAAATTAATAGAAAAAAAGTTGTAGTAGAAAATCGTGGTTCTTTTGCTTTATTATTATTTTTATTATTGTTATCAGAGTCTCCCTTTGTCACCAGGCTGGAGTGCAGTGGCACAGTCTTGTCTCATTGCAACCTCCGCCTCCTAGGTTCAAGTGATTCTCAGACTCCCAAGTAGCTGAGACTACAGGTACACAACACCACGCCCAGCTAATTTTTGTATTTTTAGTAGAGACGGGATTTCACCATGTTGACCAGGATGGTCTCGATCTCCTGACCTTGTAATCCACCCACCTCGGCCTTCCAAAGTGCTGGGATTACAGGTGTGAGCCATTGCACCTTGCCAATTCTTTTGCTTTGTAAGACAAATTTTACTTGTCAGAGTGGTCTAACTGTTCTCACAAAGAACTAAAAGCTCTTAAACTTTCATTATGTCATTTCTTGCCCAAGTAACAGCTCAATATAATTATTGAGGGGACAAAAGGGGAGTATTCTCCTTTATAAAATCATTCCAGGACTGGAGCTGTTTTCATTTATTGGTGCCACTATGCCCTTGAACTGCATCATCCAATATAGTGGTCACTAGGAGCACATGGCTATTTAAATTTAAATTAACCAAATCAAATACAATTAAAAATTTAGTTCTGTAGTTGTATTAGCTATATTTTTCAAGTGCTCAGTAACCACATGTGGTTAATGTCTACGATACTGGACAGCGCAGACACAGAACATTGTCATCATCACAGAAAGTTTTATCAGATATCACGGCCCACAAATTCTGAGTCTCCCAGGGGATCTTCTGCTGAGGGCAGCAGACAGGGAAGACAGAGAGAGCATGGAGTGTCACGTGGTAGGTGTTTAGGTTTTAGGCACTGGACCTGTAAGTTGTGGACCTCACTTGTATCCAGATGTCATTGGCAAGACCTCTCTCACCTAACTGTAAGGGAGGCTGGGAAATGTCATCCTCCTGTGTGCCCAGGATGAAAGACAATGGGATTTGTTAAATGCATAGCATTGTCTCTATCACAAAACTGCATAACTAAATATTTTTTTTAGGAGATAATGACTGTTTCCATTTCGAATCACACTCACTCTAAACTGTATTTTGAATTTGATTTAGTTCAAAAAGATTTGTTAGAGTAAACTTTATCCTGAAGGAGCTTTTAAATAAGACATATATGAAGTCATTATAAAAACATAACAATCTCAGGTTAAAAGATGGAGAGATTAATATGAGTTGGAGTATATACAGCCATCTTCTTAGAGAAGGTAAAACATAGGCCTTCAAGAATGGAGACTGGGTGCAGTGGCTCACACCTGTAATCCTAGCACTTTGGGAGGCCGAGGCAAGTGGATTACCTGAGGAGCTTGAGACCAGCCTGGGCAACACGAGGAAACCCCATCTCTACTAAAAATACAAAAAATTAGCAGCATGCACCTGTAATTCCAGCTACTTGGGAGACTGAGGCAGGAGAATCCCTTGAACCCAGGAGGCAGAAGTTGCAGTGAGCTGAGATCGCGCCACTGCCCTCCAGCCTGGGTGACAAAGGAAGACTCTGTCTCAAAAAAAAAAAAAAAAAAAAAAAAAGAATGGATAGACAGAAAGAAGATATGCCAGGTGTGGGAATAGTAAGAGCAAAACTACAGAGGTATAATGAACATGGCATGTTTGGCAGAGGCAGGAGTAAGGAGTAAGGGGAGAGGGGGAATTAGAACACAGAGCCCTTTCTGGAGGGTAGGGAAAAATAGGATTGATAGGTTTAGGTGATGCCTGAGAGGGGCCTAGAGTCCCAGAATGCAGAGTAAACTTGATCTTATAAGAAAGAGTGAGACAGAGTGGATCCTTGAATGGCTCAGTGTTATATTAAACACTGTGCTTTCGGGAGGGTAACGGGATAGTCTTGGGAGGAGAGAGGATGGAGGCTGGTGAACCAGCGGCAGGTAGCTGATGCATTCAGACGTGAAGCAGTTGGGGTCTGAGATATGATAGTAAGTTGTAGAAGAGATGGGTCCAAGAGGCATTATATTGTAAAATAAAACAGGAGTAGTGAAAATCTTGGAAAATGCAATGAAGACTAAAACTGCAAACATGACTTGGAAGGTTTTGGAAGAAAGAGACGAGTTGGAAGGAGGAACGATCTGGAAGAACAATGAAGAGCTTGTTTGTGTAAGTGCTGGGGGAAGGAGTGACAACTGGACCTTGAAGCAGAAATGTCCTTCACCACCATGGGACTTTGTAGAGAGGACTGGATTATAGTGACAAAAGCCATTGTCATAATGTGACTAAAACTATGAGATAATAATGTTTTCTGATGGAGAGTAGTGTGAGGATAGGTGATATTAATACTATTTATGATAGTAATATTAATTATATTTAGAGTACTTGTTTTGTTTTAGGCACTTGCCTATAATTTTCTATGTGTTAACTTATTTACTTCCATTTCACAGATAGTCTGAGTGGTTACATAGCTTGCCTAAGATCACAAAGCTAGTTATATAGCCAAGAAACCACTGCCAAATCCAATGTCAGGAAGCTTTTCCCCTGCATGGAGCGTTTGCAAATGACAAACTTTAGAGAGACTTGGCCCCTGTTCCCTGATGTCGGTTCTCTTCCCCAGGCTGGATTCATGAATGATGGCAGAATCTTGGCCCTGGACATGGAACATTATAGCAATGCAGGCGCCTCCCTGGATGAATCATTACTCGTAAGTGTTTTTTTTTTTTTTTTTCGTAAGTGTTTTAAGGAGCAAGTTAACATTCCTGAAAGAGTGTTATATAAAATGATTTAAATCAGGAAATGTCCAATAATAGTTAAGTAATATTTAATTATAAAGGCATAATGACCGTCATTGCAGGGATACCATGTGTTACTTCCTGGTGCCCATAGTGTGAGCCCAAAGATGTTGGCTGAGTTGTATCTGTGTGGTACCCCCAGGCTTCTCATACTTAGAGCTCTTTTCCCAGAGGCACACATGAGACCAGGAGGCTTTCTCAACTTTGGCCCTACTGATATTTTGGAGTGTGTAGCTCTTTATGGTGGGAACTGTCCTGCTCATTGTATCATATTTAGCCTCTACTTTGTAGGTGTCAGTGGCATTACCACCCTCTAGTCTTCTTATTTTTTATTTTTATTTTTTGAGACACAGAGACCCACTCTATTGCCCAGGCTATAGTGCAGTGGCTCAAATGATCCTCCCATCTCAGCCTCCCAGATAACTGGGACTGCAGGTACATGCCACCATGCCTGGCTAATTTATCATTATTATTATTATTTTGTAGAGATGGGGTCTCACTATGTTGCCAGAGACGATCTCAAACTATTAGGCTCAAGCAGTCCTCCCACCTTGGCATCCCAAAGTGCTGGGATTACAAGTGTGAGCCACCATGTCCAGCCCAACCCCAAACAAAAATGCCTCAACTAGACCGGGCATGGTGGCTCACGCTTATAATCCCAGCACTTTGGGAGGCCGAGACAGGTGGATCACTTTCAGGTCAGGAGTTCGAGACCAGTCTGACCAACATGGTGAAATCATGTTTCTACTATAAATACAAAATTAGCCATTCATGGTGGCACACACCGGTAATCCCAGCTACTTGGGAGGCTGAGGCCGGAGAATCACTTGAACCTGGGAGGCGAAGGTTGCAGTGAGCTGAGATTGTATCATTGCACTCCAGCCCAGACAAAAGCGAAACTCCGTTTCAATTAAAAAAAAAAATGTCTCAACCAAAATATTAACAATGAAAAGTGTCTTCAGACATTGCCAGATGTCCCCAGGAGCAGGGAAAAGATTGCTCCTTATTGAGAACCATACATTAGACCCAATGCCGAACATTTTTTCTGTTTTCTCTGTCTTCCAGGATATTGTAGTCATTACATTCTATAAACTCAGTGCTCAGGGCCTGTGAACATATCAAAGGCTTTTGTATATGTATGAAATCTTTAAAAAAATGCATTAACTCCAAAATATGAAAATAAAAAATAATGCTCCCGAAGGAAAACTTATTCAAATACTTAAAAATTATTTTACAGCAAAAATGTGTTTAATTGGGGCATGGGAATATTTTAGCATGTTTGGTGGGATGTAAAGCAGGCTGCCATTTCCAGCCTAGTTTTGGTCTGAGGTTGTAGGATGGTAAAACAGGTTCAGAAGTTCTTACTGCATCAACTCTGGGTTTCTCCAGGTGATAGAAATGGGAATTCTGAAAATGGACAATGCTTACAAGTTTCCCAACCTGCGCTGCCAGGCTTGGGCATGCAGAACCAACCTTCCATCCAACACGGCTTTTCGTGGGTTTGGATTTCCTCAGGCAGGGCTGATCACTGAATCTTGTATCACAGAAGTTGCAGCCAAATGTGGACTATCCCCTGAGAAGGTAATACTAAATTAGCTTCACAGACAAAACATGTGTAATGTCAGAGGTGGGAGGGCTTTTGGGAGCCAGTCAGGTTGAGGAATTTGAGACCCAGAGGGGTAAATGATTTGTGCCGCGTCGCCCAGCTAACTGGTTAATGCAGAGTCCAGACTCCAAAGTTCAGCAATCTTTGCCTTATGCAGACGCCTGCTCCAAAACCCCGAAGCAGAGGATACTGAGGAATAAGCATTGCATTCTCCCCTGGCTAGTGAGAGGCTTCCATTGGCTGGGGATATAACTGCTACCAACAATTCCTTCAAGGCCCTCATTCCCTGCTTCCCAAACATCTCAGCCAGCTGTCATAAAGTTGGTCATTTCAGTGCCTAAAATGTTCTCCTTTTGGTGCCTTTTTTTTTTTCTTTTGGTAACATTAATAGGCTGGATTTTATTTTTATTTATTTATTTCCATAAGTTATTCAGGTACAGGTGGTATTTGGTTATATGAGTAGGTTCTTTAGTAGTGATTTGTGAGATTTTGGTGCACCCATCACCCAAGCAGTATACACTGTACCATATTTGTAGTCTTTTATCCCTCACTCCCCTCCCACTCTTCCCCCCAAGTCCCCAAAGCTCATTGTATTATTCTTATGTCTTTTCATCCTCATAGCTTAGCTTTCATATATCACTGAGAACATACAATGTTTGGTCTTCCATTCCTAAATTACTTAGAATAATAGTGTCCAATCTCATCCAGGTCACTGCAAATGCGGTTAACTCATTCCTTTTTATGGCTGTGTAGTATTCCATTATATATATATATGGCATTCCATCATATATATATGATTATATGTATATATGATTTTTATATACATATATGATGGAATACTACACAGCCATATAAAGGAATGAATTAACTGCATTTAAATACATATATTTAAATACATATACTGTGATATATATATATATATATATATATATACTCACAGTTTCTTTATCCACTCATTGATTGGTGGGTGGGCATTTGGGTTGGTTCCATGATTTTGCTATTGTGAATTGTGTTGCTATAAACATGTGTGTGCAAGTATCTTTTTCAAATAATGACTTATTTTCCTCTGGGTAGATACCCTGTAGTGGGATTGCTGGATCAAATGGTAGTTCTACTTTCAGTTATTTAAGGAATCTCCACACTGTTTTCCATAGTGGCTGTACCAGTTTACATTCCCACCAGCAGCATAGAAATATTCCCTGTTCACCGCATCCACGCCAACATGCACTGTTTTGATTTTTTTATTATTATTGTGGCCATTCTTGCAAGACTAAGGTGGTATCACGTTGTGATTTCAATTTGCATTTCCCTGATCATTAGTAATGTTGAGCATTGTTTCATATGTTTGTTGGCCATTTGTATATCTTCTTTTGAGAATTGTTTATTCATGTTCTTAGCCCACTTTTCGATGGGATTTTTTTTTCTTACTGATTTGTTTGAGCTCATTGTAGGTTCTGGATATTAGTCCTTTGTCAGATGTATAGATTTTCTCCCACTCTGTGAGTTGTCTGTTTACCCTGCTGACTCTTCCTTTTGCTATGCAAAATCTCTTCAGTTTAATTAGCTCCCAGCTATTTATCTTTGTTTTTATTGCATTTGATTTTAGGTTCTTGATCATGAAATCCTTGCCTAAGTCAATGTCTAGAAGGGTTTTTTCCAATGTTATCTTCTAGAATTTTAATAGTTTCAGGTCTTAGGTTTAAGTCCTTAATCCATCTTAAGTTGATTTTTGTATAAGGTGAGAGATGAGTATCCAGTTTCATTCTTACTACATGTGGTTAGCCAATTATCCCAGTACCATTGGTTGAATAGGGTGTCATTTCCCCACTTCATGTTTTTGCTTGCTTTGTCAAAGATCAGCTGGGTGTAAGTATTTGGGTTTATTTCTGGGTTCTCTATTCTGTTCCATTGGTCTACGTGCTTATTTTTATACCAGTAACAAACTGTTTTGGTGACTATGGCCTTACAGTATAGTTTGAAATCAGGTATTGTGATGCCTCCAGATCTGTTATTTTTGCTTAGTCTTGCTTTGGCTATGGGGGCTCTTTTTTGGTTCCATATGAATTTTAGAATTTTTTTTGCAAATTCTGTGAAGAATGATGGTGGTATTTTGATGGGGATTGCATTGAATTTGTAGATTGCTTTTGGCAGTATGGTCACTTTCACAATATTGATTCTATCTATCCATGAGCATTGGATGTGTTTCATTTGTTTGTGTCATCTATGATTTCTTTCAGCAGTGTTTTGTAGTTTTCTTGTAGAGGTCTTTCAACTCCTTGTTTAGGTATATTCCTAAGTATTTTATTATTATTTTTGTAGCTGTTATAAAAGGGGTTGAGTTATTGATTTGATTATCTGCTTGGTCGCCACTGGTGTACAGAAGAACTACTGATTTGTGTACATTAATCTTGATCTGGAAACTTCGCTGAATTCTTTTGTCAGTTCCAGGAGCCTTCTGGAGGAGTCCTTAGGGTTTTCAAGGTAAACCATCATATTGTCAGCCGACAGTGACCATTTGACTTCCTCTTAACCAATTTGGATGCCCTTTTTAAATTTCTCTTGTGTGATTGCTTTGGCTAGGACTTCCAGTACTATGTTAAAGAGAAGTGGTGAGAGTGGGCATCCTTGTCTTTTTCCTGTTCTCAGAGGGAATGCCTTCAGCTTCTCCCCATTCAGTATTATGTTGACTGTGTTTGTCGTAGATGGATTTTATTACATTAAAGTATATCTCTTGTATGCTGATTTTGCTAACAGTTTTAATCATAAAGGGATGCTGGATTTTGTCAAATCCTTTTTCTGCATTGAGATGATCATGTGATTTTTGTTTTTAATTCTGATTTTGTAGTGTATCACATTTGTTAACTTGCATGTGTATCACATTTGTTAACTTGTGTGTGTTAAACCTGCATTTCTGGTATGAAACCCACTTGATCATGTTGAATTATCTCTTTAATATATTATTGGATTCAGTGAAGTAGTATTTTGTTAAGGATTTTAACATGGATGTTCACCAAGGATATTGGTCTGTACTTTTCTTTTTTGGTTGTGTCCTTTCCTGGTTTTGTTATTAGGGTGATGCTGTCATAAAATGAATTAGTTAAGGTTCCTTATTTCTCTTTCTTGTGGAATAGTCTCAAAAGAATTGGTACCAATACTTCAAATATCTGGTGGAATTCTGCTGTGAATCCATCTGGTCCTGGAATTTTTATTGTTGGTAATTTTTAAATTACCATTGCAATCTCACTGCTGGTTATTGGTCTGTTAAGGGTATCTAATTCTTCCTGATTTGAGCTAGGAGGGTTCTATTTTTCCAGGAATTTATCCATCTCTTCTAGGTTTTCTAGTTTATGTGTGTAAATGTGTTCATAGTCGCCATGAATGATCTTTTGTATTTCAGTGTTGTCAATTGTAATATCTCCTGTTTCATTTCTTAGTAAGGTTATTTGGATTTTCACTCTTCTTTTTTTAGTTAATCTTGCTAATGGTTTATCAATTTTATTTATCTTTTCAAAGAACTAGCCTTTTGTTTCATTTATCTTTTGTATTGTTTTTTTCCCCCTATTTCATTTATTTCTGCTCTGATCTTTGTAATTTCCTTTCTTCTGCTGGGTTTGGGTTTGATTTGTTCTTGTTTCTCTAGTTCCTTGAGGTGTGACCTTAGAATGTCAGGTTGTGCACTTTCACTCTTTTTGGTGTAAGCACTTAAGGCTATGAACTTTCCTCTTAGCACTGCCTTTGTGTATCCCAGAGGTTTTGACAGGTTGTATGATTATTGTCATTCAGTTTGAAGAATATTTTAATTTCCATTTGATTTCTTTTTTGACCCAATTCTCATTCAGGAGCAGGTTATTTAATTTCCATGTATTTGCATGGTTCTGAAGGTTCCTTTTGGAGCTGATTTCCAGTTTTATTTCACTGTGATCTGAGACAGTGCTTGATATAATTTCAGTTTCCTTAAATGTATTGAGCTTGTTTTATGGCCTATCATATGGTCTCTATGGTCTATCTTGGAGAAAGTTCCATGTGCTGTTGAATAGAAGGTATATTCTGCAGTTGTTAGATGAAATGTTCTGTATATATCTGTTTAGTCCATTTTTTCCAAAGTATAGTTTAAATCTACTGTTTCTTTGTTGACTTTCTGTCTTGATGACCTGTCTAGTCCTGTCAGTGGAGTATTGAAGTTCCCCACTATTATTGTATTGCTCTCTATCTCATTTATTAGGTCTATTAGTAAGTGCTTTATAAATTTGGGAGCTCCAGTGTCAGGTGCATATATGTTTAAGACTGTGATATTTTCCTGTTGGACAAGGCCTTTTACCATTATACAATATCCCTTTTTGTCTCTTTTAACTGCTGTTGCTTTAAATTTTGTTTTGTCTGGTATAAGAATACTTACTCCTACTTGCTGTTGGTGTCCATTTGCATGAATTGCCTTTTCTACCCCTTTACGTTGTTTATGTGAGTCCTTATGTGTTAGGTGAGTCTTCTGAAGGCAGCAGATAGTTGGTTGTTCAGTTCTTATCTATTCTGTGGTTCTGTATCTTTTAAGTGGCATTTACACCATTTATATACAATGTTAGTATTGAAATGTGAGGTGCTGTTGCATTCATCATGCTTTTTGTTGCCTGTGTACTTTGTGTTTTTTTGTTTTCACTTTTTATCATGTATTTATGTTTTATAGATCCTGTGTGACTTATGCTTCAAAGAAGGTCTGTTTTGATGTGTTTCCAGAATTTATTTCAAGATTTAGAGCTCCTTTTAGCAGTTCTTATAGTGATGACTTGATCAAATTCTCTCAGCCTTTATTTGTCTGAAAATGATTGTCTCTTTCCTTCATACATGATACTTAGTTTTGCTGGATACAAAATTCTTGGCTGATAATTGTTTTGTTTGAGGAAGCTGAAGATAGGGCCCTAATCCCTTCTAGATTGTAGGGTTTCTGCTGAGAAATCTGCTTTTAAGCTGATAAGTTTTCCTTCATAGGCTATCTGGTTCTTCTGTCTCATAGCTCCTAAGATTCTTTCTTTCGTCTTGACTTTGGATAACCTGATGATGTGCCTAGGTGAAGATTTTTCTGTGATGAATTTTCCAGGTGTTCTTTATACTTCTTGTATTTGGATGTCTAGGTTTCTAGCAAGGCCAGGGAAGTTTTCCTTGATTATTCCACCAAATATATTTTCTAGGATTTTAGAATTCTCTTCTTCCTTAGCAACATGGATTATTCTTAAGTTTGGTCATTTAACATAATCCCAGACTTCTTGGAGACTTTGTTGATATTTTTCTATTCTTTTCTCTTTATCTTCGTTGGATTGGATTAATTCAAAGACCTTGTCTTTGAGCTCAGAATGTCTTTCTTCTACTTGTTCAATTCTATTATTGAGACTTTCCAGATCATTTTGCATTTCTAAAAGTGTATCCAAAGTTTTCTGAAATTTTGATTGTTTTTTCTTTAAGCTATCTATTTCCTTGAATATTTCTCCCTCACTTTTTATATCATTTTTTGGATTTCCTTGCATTGGGCTTTGCCTTTCTCTTGTTCCTCCCTGATTAGCTTAGTAACTAACCTCCTAAATTCTTTTCCAGGTAAATTAGAGATTTCTTATAGGTTTGTATCCATTGCTTGTGAACTCGTGTGATTTTTGGGGGGTGTTGATGAGCCTTGTTTTGTCATATTACCAGGGTTGGTTTTCTGGTTCCGTCTCATTTGGGTAGGCTCTGTCAGAGGGAAGGTCTAGGGCTGAAGGCTGTTGCTCAGTTTCTTTTGTTGTAGTACTTTCTCTCTTTTCCTATGGATGTGGTTCCCTGTGAGTAGAACTGCAGTGATTGTTGTCTTTCTTCTGGGTCTAGCTACCCAGCGAGTCCACCCAACTCCAGGCTGGGACTGAGGGTTGTCTACACAGATTCCTGTGATGTGAACTGTCTATGAGTCTCTCAGCCATGGATATCAGTGCCTGTTCTGGTGGAGGTGATGGAGGGTACAGTGGACTCCATTAGTGTCCTTAGCTTTGGTGGTTTAATGCTCTAGTTTTGTGCTGGTTGACTCCCTCCCAGGAGGTAGCACTTTCCAGAAAGCATCAGCTGTAGTAGTGTGGTGAGGGACTGGTGGTGGATGGGGCCATAGTATGCCCAAGATTAAATGTCCTTCATCTTCCACTACCAGGGTGAATAGGGAAGGACCATCAAGTGGGGGTGGGGATAGGCACTTCTGAGCTCAGACTCTCCTTGGGTGGGTCTTGCTGTGGCTGCTGTGGGGGATGGGGGTGAGATTCCCAGGTCATTGGAGTTGTGTACCTAGGAGGATTATGGCTGCCTCTGCCGAGTCATGCAGGTTGTCAGGGAAGTGGGGGAAAGCCGGCAGTCATAGGCCTCACCCAGCTCTCATGCAAACTGAAGGGCCAGTCTCACTCCCACTGTGCACCCCCCAACAGCCCTGAGTTTGTTTCCAGGCAGAGGGTGTGATGGGCTTGAAAACTTGCTCTGGGCTACGTACCTCCCAGCTGTGAGAGAAAAGAGCTTGGTTCTTCCCTCACCTGTGGAGTCTGCACACCAGATATGTGCTCTCCTCTGAGTTTGGGCTAGGAGGCTTCTTGTCCCATTCAAATTATTACAAAGATCAGCTAGAGATTTCCTTCTCCCTGTGGAGTTATACTCTCTAGGGGCTTCTCTGGTCATACTCCCAATGGGTCCCTGTGGTGTTAGGCAGGAATGACCTGCTAGGGGACACAGTGAGGTCCAAGGGCCTTTCTCCTGCTTCTTCTATCCCTGCATTGTGCTCGGCTCTCTAAAGTGGCTCAGCTCCAGGTAAGGTCGGAAACTTCTCCTGAGAACAGGACTTCAGCTTCTCCAGTGGGGGTGTGTGTTTAGGAGAGGAGGGTCTCCCTTTCCCCCTTCCGCAGTTGGGGCAATCACAGTATTTGAGGTATCTCCTGAGTTCTGCAAGAGCAGTCCAATTCTTTCAGAGGGTTTGTGGGTCCACTTGGGATTACTGGTTTGTCTTTGCAGTCGATCTGGAGCTAAAATTCACAAGGCAAGCTTCCACAAGCTGTTCTGTCTGGAGCTGCAATCTAGTCCTGCCTCCTGTCTGCCATAATGATCCAGGTTCTCCTTTCAGTTCTTTCCGCCTTAGCCCCAACTTCGTTCATTGACAAGGACCTTCCCCTCCCTGGCCCCTCTTCCCAGATCCTGGAGTAGAATTAGTATGGGGAGATGGAGTGAGCCCTCTTTCAGCTCCTTCCCCTCCTCTGTGCCTTCTGCTGTGATGCTGATGCAAGGAGGAAGAGGGGAAGGACTAGGGAAAACAGCCAGTCTCTCCCTCTGTGACTTCTCCCAGCAAGCTCACAGTCCTCTCTTTGGTCAGAAGTAGTCACTTTTCAAGTACATTGTCTATGGCTCCATTTCTGCCAGCTCTTCCAAAAATTGGCAGTCCCTGGACCTTCAGCAGGCAGCTGGCACAGCTTTCCACTGGTGATCATGCCTCTCTGCCCGTGTCCTGGCTGTCTTTAGAAGGCCCCAGGTCCTGTTGCACCGGGGCGAGCACAGAAAATCAACACCAAGACAAAAGTATGCCAAATTGCAGGGCCTTTATTGCTGGCAGCCAAGGAGGATTCATGTCTCTCCAACCCATGGCCCTGAGCTCAGGGGGAGCAAGGCATTTAAGCTGTAAAACCACATCCTTTTTCAAGCAGGCACAGGGGTGAGCAGGTGTGCGAGTCAAGCAGTCTGTACAGAAGCTAAAGTTTGCAGTTTGTTGCAAGGGAAAGGGGGGTAGCAGTGGAAATTTTTACCCTTAACACTTCTGAGAATTGATGTACATTAACAGTTCTGAGAACTACACCTACGCCCAGGGCCCAAGTGGCTTCTCTATAAGATGGCAGTGCTTAGGCTTCAGTTTTAGCCCCTATCTCAGTCCCAACTCATCTACCACCTTTTGCCCAAGAGTAGCCACTTTCTTTGCTTCTCTTGAACGTGTGGGAGGCCTTGCCCCTCCCTTCGTGGTCATCCCACCAGACTCTCTGCTACAGTTGGTAGCGCTATGGAAGAGAAACACAAGAAGACCTGTCTTCACACGCAGGGAAGTTAGAGCAGGGAACGGCCTCTTAAAAACACCACTTCCCCCAAATGGCACAGCTCATTAATTTCCAGTCTTTCTCTTACAATGATCTGATAATTTGCATAGGAGGGTGGGGAGAGTGTGTCTGTGATGGCTCAGTCGGCTTAGGGAGGGGGCTGACCACAAGTGCTAAGAGTTTTCTCAGCTGGGAATATAACATACTTGGCACCTTTTATTCTCTGCTGAGGGTCTTAGTTACCAATTCTGGGAATACAGGAAGAATTGCACTCAGTGCTTCAGACATCCTAGGATAGAATATTTTAATTTGTTCTTCATCCTAGATATTGGTTATATTTAAGCAAACTTTCATGTTTGCCTCTTTTGGAGGTGAGTAGTCTTATCTTACAACACAGCATGTGAGTAATCCAAATCATGTGGCCTAGATGATCTTTCAGCAGCTATTCCAAATGCAACTAGAATTAAGAGTCTACAGCGTACATGGATTGTGTTGAGTTATATTGGAACATAAGGGAAGGGTTCCATCCTTTAAAGTTGCACAAGAGTAGCATAGAAAGCACAGAAGTAATTGCTAGCATGTTTGATAGAATCCCTGAGTAGAGGAAGAGGACAATATTGTACAATAGGAAAGGCTTCCACAAGGACTAAGTAGATACTGGCTTGGACCTTATTAGATGGACAGAATTTGACCAGGAGGACAGGGGGCAGACAAGCCTATGTCTGCTAGGTTTCCCCTTCCTGCCTTAATCTCCTTTTCTTTCATAGGTGCGAATGATAAACATGTACAAGGAAATTGATCAAACACCCTACAAACAAGAGATCAATGCCAAGAACCTGGCCCAGTGTTGGAGAGAATGTATGGCCATGTCTTCCTACTCCCAGAGAAAAGTGGTTGTGGAAAAATTCAACGTGGAGAATTACTGGAAGAAGAAAGGACTGGCCATGGTCCCCTTGAAGTTTCCTGTTGGCCTTGGCTCACGCGCTGCTGGTCAGGTCAGTCCTCCAAACACACATGAGGATGCTGCCTAGAAACAGCATAGACAAAGCAAGAGGTCTTGAGGAAACTTCTTAAGTCATGTGAGCCATATGGTTGCAATGCCCAGTTGTTAAATTTCACAAAAGCCACCAAAGTCAAAGTAATTAAGCTAGCTTTACTCCAGAGGAGACTAGAGCTTGTCTGCCCACATCCCCATGGTTGGTGAAAAACATTCTTGCTGGAAATTGGGAGACAGGTTTACTCCTGGTCCTGGCAACAGGCGGCTGGGTCCATTTGCTCTGGGCCGAGACTGCTCATGTGGAAAGCAGGAGGGTGGGACCAACGGCCTCCAAGACTCCTCTCCCAGCATCTGCAATTCTGTGTCACTGGACCATGAAATAGGAATGAGAAGCTGCAAGGTTTTGGGTGTCCTGTCCTTCTGCATGGGTTGGAGTAAATTAAATCCAGAAAAATAAATCACTTTTTAAATATAATTTTTGAAGTTTATTCACCTTGGAGCTTTTAAAACTGTGAAAGGGAGGACAGGGAATCTGCTCTTGCAGTTTAATTTCTTTCATTGATTAAAGAAATCCCCTTGCCTGGTTGCTGAATCCCACATGCTATTTCCACCTCTTCATTCCTGATTGTCTCTCAAGATTGAACGAAGCTTACCCCTAATGGCTGGTGAGGACTGCAACATTCTGGCTCATTGTATGGCAGTGGGGAACCCCTATTATCTATTTTCTTACATACACACATCCATGTATATACAGATAAGCTGGCAGAACCCTCACAATTGTCACTCCTCTTTGCAGATTCACTCCTTGGTCGGAGCCACGAAGAAGGCATGGCAGTTGTGTTGATCGATCACAAAATAGAAATAAATGGTGGGGTGGGGGAGCTTTGAGGGGATCTTGTGTGTTAAGGGAGGAGAAGAGGCCAGGAAAAATGGGCAGGACCGTCATTTCCCTATCCCATATCCATCCATTCACCTAACTGTCCTAGTTGAGTTTTGGTGTCATCCTTAGACCATTTGCATGCAGCTTTGATTGCAGGCAGGAGGTAGGTCAGAGAAGTATTATAACAAATGGTTATCTTATTGCAGGCTTCTCATTCCTTGCCTGTTTGTGATGGCAAAAAATAACACAGAGCCATGTAGTCATCTACATACAATTAACTCAGATGTGAGAGACAGTCAAGAGGCTGTAGTTGAGAAATAAAAGCAAAAACGAGGTTATTACAAAGGAAGAGAGAAAAAACTACCACTGGGAAAAGTGTTTGTAAGCACTGAGTCTTGGTATAGAATTTTGGGTAAACTGATTAGCTGGCACTTACCAAAGAGGTCAGTCAGGGCCATCTGCCTTGAGCAGACTGGTCAGGAGCATCAGGAAAAACAGTCTCCTTTGTTTATGGATCCTTTGGAAATCCTCTCATGTTTGGCTGTAGGTAAACATGATGCACCACCTCTATTTGATGGCTGTCATTACTTCACATCTGGCCTCTGCCATAGACCAGGTCTTGCCCATTTTCCTCATCAGAATTTTCTCAAAAGGTAGATTTAAAAAAGATATGGCCAGATGCAGTGCCTCACACCTGTAATCCCAACACTTTGGGAGGCCAAGATAGGAGAACTGCTTGAGACCAGGAGTTTGAAACCAGCCTGGGCAACATAGTGAGGCCCATCTCTATAAGAAAGAAAAAATAATAATAATGACAAATAATGAGCCTATGATGTTTAAGTACTTTTAGGTTTTATCTCATTCAACCTTAGGACAACCTAGAAAATTTATATTCTCATTTTAGGGATGAAAAAATCTAGGCTTAGAGGGTTTAAATAGCTGGCTCAAGGTCCTGCAGCTGGTAGAGGTGGGGGTGGGGCTAGAACTCAGGTATGAATGGCTCTCAAAGCTGGATTTTCTAGCTGCACCACATGGTCTCCCCAAAACACCTTTTGATAGAAACTGAAGTGGGATTCAGCTCAGCTGAGAACAAGCTAGGCAAGAGCCAGCAGTACAAATGCATTCTTGAAGGCCTCCTGGGAAACTGACCAGCTTCTGTGCTAAAAATATTTACTTAGGGCAGAATCAAGGAGTTTGAGACCAAACTCCTTGGAAGACACATGCTAAAAGACTCAATTCTGAAGCAAACTAAATAGAGGAGGAAACTAGACATGATATTTGAGTGCCTTCTCTGTGGAAGGACCTGAGCTGGGGAATTTGTAATTAGTCCCTATCTCATCTCTATCGGGTAGTTATGAATCTCTCTATTTCATAGAAGGGGAAACTGAAGCCCATAGGGATTCTCTCTCTTGCCTAAGGACATCCAGCCAGTAAATGGCAGAACAAGGATTCAACCTCAGCACCGCCTTCATCATCCCACACTCCTCCCTGAGCAGAGGCAGTCCCTGCCCAACAGCTGAGGGGGTCAAATGTACCCCACCTGTGTTATTCAGGCATACCTTGTTTTACTGCCCTCTGCTTTATTGCACTTCCTAGATACTGCTTTTTTTATGAATTGAAAGTTTGTGGCAACCGTGCTTCAAGCAAGTCTATTGGTGCCATTTTTCCAACAGTATGTGCTGACTCTGTCTCTCTGTCATGTTATGGTAATTCTCACAGTATTTCAAACTTTTTCACGATTATGGTGATCTGTGATCAGTGATCTTTGATTTTAGTATTGTAATTTTGGGGGGATACCATGAACCACATCCATATAAGACAGCAAACTTAATAAATGTTTGATATGTTCTGACAGTTCTACCGACTGGCCCTTCCCCCATTTCTCTCCCTCTCCTTAGGCCTCCGTATTCCCTGAGACTCAACGATATTGAAATTAGGTCCATTAATAACCCTGCAATCACCTCTGTGTTCAAGTAAAAAAAGAGTCACAAGTCTCACTTGAAATCAAAAGCTAGAAATGATTAAGCTTAGTAAGGAAGGCACTGCACCCCAGCCTGGGTAACAAAGCAAGACCTTGTCTCAAAAAAAAGAAAAGAAAATATTACAACTACCCCAATCTTCAACCACCACCACCCTGGTTAGTCAGCAACCATCAACATTGAGACAAGACCCTCCTCCATCTACAAAAAGATTCTGACTCTCTGAAAGCTCAGATGATTGTTAGCATTTTTTAACAAAGTATTTTGAAATTAAAGTATGTACAATCTTTTAGAAATAATTCTATTGTACACTTAATAGAGCATGGTGTAGCATAAGCATCACTTTTATACACACTGGAAAAGAAAAACATTGTATGATTTGCTTTATTGCTGTGGTTTGGAGCTGAACGCGGATAAGCATACGTACTTCCTGCAGTGTCAACAGAGTGGTACAGACAGGACCTAACCAACCTCTGTGTGTCCAAGCCTTACTATGGCACTTGGCACAGGAACTAAGATGTCTGAATGGCTGAAATATTTGGGGAATCTGTGTGTTTGAAGCTAACTTCTCACTGATAACAGTAGTTGTCGTTTGAAGGTTTAAATTCCCCCAACTAGGTCCTCTACTTACACTGTAGAACATCTGCTCCAGGTCTCCAGTTGTGCCTATTTTATAGATGAAGCTTTGCAGAATTATCTTTTGTGGCACTAACAATGGAACTGTCCCATGGTGCCACTTAACTAAACCAAATTTGGCATTTTAAATGGCCCAAGGAGATTGCAGCACCACATGGAACAAATTACTGAGTGATCTCTGATCGACATGCTGCCTTGGACATACAGGCTGAATGCTGTCACCAGCAGAGTCACACAGTGTAGGAAAAGTACAATCCACTATAATTGTAGCTCAATCACATGGGCCAAGTCCAACTACGAATTGCATGCACACTTTGCAGAGCCAAGGAGACCAAATACAGAGTCTACAAGATTAAGAAACAGATTGCATGGCTATGCTACCGCAAATTTACTTATCAAACATTTACTGAGCACCTACCACATGTTTGTTGCTATATTGCATTCCGAGAGATGCCTTAAGACCTGATGCTTCCTTTCAGGGGGCTCATATTCTAGCAAAGCACGATGAAGTGCCATGGAATCGGGCCCAGGAGCTATTGTTATAGCTGGCATCACCTGACATCTGATGCACAACCCCCAGGCAGCCTGCTTGGGGCTCTCTGTAGAGGAAAGCTATTTCTTACCTTTATTATTTTGAGAATGAATGGCCATGTTTCCAGGAGTCATGAGTCAATAAACAGTAAAACACACTCTGCTGCATCTTCCCAAGGCCCTTGGGTGTCATTATCATGGCTGCTATGCCTTCCTCAAGAGTCTAAGGTTCTCCTTTGGACTGTGGATAGATGTGCCTTTGTCCTCAGAGAAAGGGTATCCTGGTGTCACCATTTGCCCAACACATCCCTAGTTTACACCTGCTGACCAAATAAATGGAGTCCATTTTCACTGTCAAACTTGCCTTATTTGGAATGACAGAGGCTTCTGGTTGTCATTCACAGGGGTAATGTGAACCTTTGGATACAAATAAAGAGAGTTCTGCAAGTGTGGTCCACAGTCCCCAGGTAGCTGGGAAGGCCCTTCTTATGGGCAGAGAATTGATCTGGAAATACTTTTTCTTGGGTTTATCTGGTGATTAACATGCAGTTCCATCAACTTTCACTTACGACCAGGGTTGCTTACAAATAGTCTAAGTGAGCAATTAAGGCTTAGGAAAATTTTTGGTTTATTAAGTGGACATTGGATTGTTACCAGAATGTTCAGAAGACCTTGACTTTCAAATCCTGGGTTATTATGCCCTCTGCATAGAAACTTAGATGTTAAGAAACCTAGCTGATGCAGACCACACCCATGCAGTCAGCACTTCCCTGCTGAAGAGCTGTGAAGGTTGCCTTGCAGGGTTTCCTGGACCACAGTGGAACCACTGAGAGACATCTGTTCTAGGACCATATGCTGCTGATGTTGCTCTTACATTGGAGACCCAAAGGGAAGAAGCCATCCTTGTTTTCTGCTGTGAATTTCTAGGATATCCCCATATTCTAGTTTAGCACAGGCAGACATGCCAGAAGGCACATTCTTGTTAATTATAAAACATGTTTAGCTTAGAGACTGGATGTTTCTGATTATAAGAGCCTTTAATGCTGTTAGCAGTCTGGTTCCTTCTGGATCCTTGTGGGGAGCTATACAGTTAGATAAGATTACTTCCAAGTTCTTGTCTAGCTCCAAAGCTCTGTAATTCTGTGCCAAGATGATTTAGGGTTAGCTTAGTCATTTTTCAGCAAAAAAAAAAAAAATTTAATGTCTATCTATCTCATCTTATATGGGATTATAAGAAAATAGATTTCCATTTTTATTTCTCCGTGACATGCCTACAACTATGAGAATATGCATGCACACAATTATTCACCCTCTCCCTCTACCTGTCTATACTTTACTTTGCATTTTAAAAGAGTCCCCTCCCCATTTCCCCCACCCTCAAAACAAACCTAAACTGTTGCTCCAGCCTGGGAGGTGGGGGATTCTTGGAGGGAAATATTTCCAAGGAAAATGTTTTAATTGATACGATATGTGATAGTATCAAAAAGATCATAGAAACAGTTTTTGTCTTTTCTGCTCAGGCTACTGCCTTGGTTCACATTTATCTTGACGGCTCGGTGCTGGTCACTCACGGTGGAATTGAAATGGGGCAGGGGGTCCACACTAAAATGATTCAGGTAAGAATGCAAATAACTAGATTGAGGTGGGTGTGTGCTTGTAGATCTGTTCATGAGATAAAAACAATGAATGGATATTTTCTGTTATAAAATACAGGATAGGAAGTGGGGCAGGGTGGCTCATGCCTATAATCCCAGCATTTCGGGAAGCTTAGGCAAGAGGATAACTTAAGTGAAGTGAAGGAGTTCAAAACCAGCCCAGGGAACATAGGGAGATTCTGTCTCTAATATATATATAATTTTTTTTTTAAGTTAGCAGGTCATGGTGGCATGAGCCTGTGTTCCCAGCTACTTGGGAGACTGAGGTGGGAGGATTGCTTAAGCCCGGGAGGTCGAGGCTGCAGTGAGCCAATTGTACCACCGAACTCCAGCCTGGATGGCAGAGCAAGACCCTGTCTCAAAAAATAAATAAAAGTTAAAAACAAAGGATAGGAGATTTGAGCTTTGACAGCTTAAGCTGTTAAGTGATTAGCAGAAACTGGGTAAACAAACCAATTTTGGAAGTGAACTCCTAAAAGACTGTGGCAGAAGAGTCTCAAGTTGTTTTATTGCTAAAGAAAGTTATATGCTTATTTGCTGCTTTCCTTTGGCTATAGTAACAGTTGAGTTGTTCTTTTTGAATCTTTATTGGGCAATAAGATAATGTGTAAATTCTGATGTATTAGATTATTTCTTGCCCTTTTGTATTAAGGACTCCAAACAATCGCTAATATAAATCATCTTTGATATTTCCAGCCAAACTTTATCTGTTTTCTTTTGGCTACCTTATTTTAGATTAATTTTAAGCTACTGTTTCTCTTTTGTTAATCATAATAGTAACATTATAGATTGTAAAACATTTGGAAACAGCAGAAAAATTTAAAAAACAAAGACCCTACACAATTTCACCACTTAGAATAATCATTATTTGGGAGTCTTTTCATCTTGTCTTTTTTTTCTTTTGCAAAAAGTCACCACCATGCTTTTGTATAATTTTGTATTCTGTTTTTTCACCCATTTTATATAGTGTGAACACTTTCTCCTGTCATTAAGCAGTCTTTACAATCATGATTTTTAATGGCTGCATGTGGATATATGTATGATTTATTTAACCGTCCCTCAGCTGTTTGAATACTTCAGTGAATATTTTTATACATTAACCTGTAATCATATTATTGATTGTTTCTTAAAATAGATTTCCGGGAGAATTACTGGGTCACAGGTGTGAGTATTTTAAATTGTTTGACACATATAATCAATTGTTTTCCAGAAAGTATCCATCTCATGATAAACCCTAACAGTGAATGTTATGGATTGTTGAAAATTTGAAAATTTGTAGATAATTTGATAAGTGAATGAAAGTATCTTATTATTCTTTCATTTACATTTTTTTGAGTATAAAGATGTTGAATACATATTTTCTCTCATGTTCTCAGTCACTTGAGAATTGACTGGTCATCCTTTCCCCATTTGGAGGGTAAAATTTCAATGTTTTCCTGTTGGATCACCAGAACCTTTATATTCTGAGCCTATGCACTCTGTGTGGATGATCTGAGAGCCAAGCCTCATGGAAGGGCTCCGTATGCCTGTGTCCTTATAGGAGCTGTAGGTAAACACTTTCAAGCCATGCTGCTAGCAGGAGAGAGGTGAATTGGGGATCAACTAAAGTTAACAATATGATTTTGCTCTCTAGCACTAAAAATAAAGAATAAGGCAGCCAGCTAAGTCCCGGTGTTGTCATGTGGCACTATCACCATGTCCTGTGACTCACATGTTCATGCCGCCACTTTTCCAAGGCCATTGTCCTTTCTCATAAGAAGCATTCTTTTCCTGGGCCAACTCCAGAAATGTGGATAGGAG